ATTAAATTCTTTTATACTTTACAAACACGTTCAATGTTTATAGTTGAATATGGTATGATACTAAATTAATAAATATCTTGTGGATAATATTATAAATTATAATGGCAAAAAGAATATTGTTTCCAAAGTAGCACGTCATGTAAAAAATGTATATTATCCATTATTACGGAGTATCAAACAATTTATGTAGATATTATTCCTAAAACACTGTAGGTATATAAACGTTATTGGTTCCATTATATTTGTTTTGGATTTTAATATTGTATTTCTTATTATATGTAGTATGTACTATGTGTTTTTATGCCATGTTATTCAGACGAATTTTTGTGACGAATCGTAAAAAGTTGGAAAACTGTAATTTTGTTTTGTCATTTTAAAAGACCGCGAATTCTATAAAGGTTGTCACAGTTGCCGCGTATATTTTGACAGTGAAAAGACATTGCTTGCTATTGTGCCCGAATAGATTATTTAGTATTTTATGCTCGGGCACATAAAAATCGTTCATTATGAATTTTTACTGACCAATAGATAAATTAAGTCGAACAAAGTAATCCAAACAGCTTTCTTGGTTTATGTGGCAGTATGTATTTTTTGAACAGACGTCTTTGAAATATAATATATAACAGAGATCTCTCTCTATATTTTTGAAAGAGAGAGATAGTTTTGAATTGAAAGTTGAAAGTTTAAACATACATATAAAATACATATGAAATATATTATTACGTCGGTATAGTTATGGATGAGTAGGGTCGGAATTCGGGTCTGGATCTCTTATTGAAACTTCAACATTATAAAGTTTAAAAGTACCTACTTGCTTGTATTCAAATTTAGTTTAATACAATAATTATATATTACATTAAATGATATGTTAGAAATTTACAATCTTAAAATGCTCAAAACTTTTAAATTAATGTATTAAAAATCTTACTTGAGCCACTGATCCCTTAGATAATATTCTTACCTTTAAGTGTGGTAATACGTAAATTAATTTTAATATTAAAACAAAAAAGTAATAGGGATTTGTCTGATAGTAAAATTTGTCATGTTGTACTTTAGCAAGACAGGGACGTCAGTACGTCATATCTATTTATCGATTTTATCGTAATCATATCTATTTACAACTTAGCCTATGTTATCTGACATACATTTTGTAATCGATACTTTTTACAATTATTATTTTTTAGTAAGTACGTAAGTACTTAAATTATTATTTAACAAAACGTTATTTTAATTCAGTTCAAATATTACCTACAAAGTAAGTTGACATTTATTACAAACATGTTTCTTTTATTGAAAATACGTTTATAAATAATTGGTTAGTTATGGATTTGTGAAGCTTGTACGCAGAGAACAAATAAAAATAAGTAACTTTCAAGGGTTAAAGGGGGCACACAATGGAAAGGGGTACTGTGATTCATTTTTTATTTTTAGAGTTCCTTGTAATATTTTCCTACTACAACAATTCATTGAATTGTTAACTGACAATTTTTTTTTTCGGAATATTAATGGCTTTTGTTAATAAGTAGCAATAATATACATATATGACATAGCATTTTAATGTCACCATCTAATATTAAATATAATTAAATAGGTACAAATAATATAGTTATAAGCACATCAATCATATATTTTTTTCTTCTAAGGACTTAATGACATAAAAACGCTTTTTAACATTTATGTACTATAAATTAACAAAGATAAATATAACAAAACAATATCAAAAGGAACATGAATTATATTTCCCTTGAGGCTTAAGTACATTGCACAAAATGTTAAATTTTTACCTAATAAAAAATAAGTTGCGAGGCTCATCAGGTCAATAATTTGTATCAATATGGTTTTATTTAATTAAAAACAATAAAATATACTAATAAATATAAAATGATAATTGTTCGAAATTAAATAATTAATAGATAATTAGAAGAAGTTATTTTGATTAGCCTTCAAACTCAACGTACGCACGTACCATTTGAAGAATTAGTTTATGCTGAAGCCTTTTAAGCGCAATCGGGGGTAGGGGATCGAGTACCTCCACGTATCCTCCTTTAACCCCTGGACTAACTATTTAGTACTGCAATTAAGAATTCACCTCATACATCGAGGCTTAGGGATGACCCTGACTTGAGTGTAAAGTAATATTATTTTAGGAGTATCTATACTGTTACTTCCAATCGTGTAGAAAAATTTGTACTAGAGACACGTCTATTATAATTTAGTCTATTGAGAGCTCGTGCAATGTATTTGGTATTGATCGTACCTCATTAAATTTGACTAGTATTACTGTATTACTTACACGAAACATATTTTTGTTTATATCTGTTTATATTAAAACACAGCGCAAGTAATAAGGTTAAAGAAGACTATAAGTGTATATTATATTAAGAGTGATATAATAAAATCGCTGTTAAACGATTCTGATTTATGTGTTGCTGCAACATTAAGAACGCGATGACAACACTTGTGCGCCGATATATATTTTATTTGACATAAATATTGCGTATGTTAAGGGCCCACTAGGTAAGGCACATAATAATATAATATATTATTATTTTAAACACATAAAATATACTTATAATTGCTTAGATAAAAACATTCAACGGGTATACCATGTCGTCGTATAACTCACCTATAAATTATAATATACGATATAACTATATTATGGTACATTGGCGCTTAAATGTAAGGATAGAACGGTCGAATTAGACAACTATTTATAATTTATAAGGAAGTATGTTCCCCCCTATACAGACGACTTTTAATAACATTTTTACAGATTATTAAATCTAGAGATTTTGAGTAGATGTCAGATTATTTAAGGATGGATAGAAATTAAGAAGTTATATTACTTAATGGAGCATGAATTTATTTTACATACCTACCTAATGTATAGTAATTATAATTATAATAATAGTGACGATGCCAGGATGATAACGCTGATGAATTGTGAACTGGATATTTGCAAAAAGTATATTGAGCCCCCCCCCCTCCGGTGATTATCGTTAACTTCCTGACAGTGATGTTTTGCTATTACATCCAATTCCACTGGACATGATCGTCCTAGTATTCGACAAACATACGTTATATCGACTAAGCAGTAAGCGATGGCCTTATCGTTGCGCTTTTCCGGTAACGTAAGCATTTCCTTTGTTGGTTTCTGTTCGATTGACGCTGTCAGCGTGTCAGACTCTTTTGACATTTCCACCTTCATTTTTGGTGGTTCTGCTGTGCTTGTTCTTCAGGGTGCAGAAGTCGTCCCAACGCCATGAGGATCTATTGTGTTCTATTTACCGAACGGTTGTAGTCTAAATCAGCTGTAGCATAGCCGCATAGCTTCTAAAGTGGGAAGTGACGGAAGGAGATAGTAGATCCAGGTGCAGTTCTTTACAATCTTATGTAAAACTTTGTTGTTTTTTTTTTAACGATAAATTATCCAGAAATATACTAAATTTCGAAAATTCATTTCACCTACCATATTCTAGTCAAAAAATTATTAAAATGTGAAGCACTAGAGTCCACCGATATGCTACACTTTTCCTAGCACTTTAGTCATTACGTATGCACTATTCAAGATCATGTATTACAAACAATAACGTAGTTGCTATTATTTTGAAGCATTGGACTCTTATTCTTCGTTGACCATACGCCCTCCATATTTTGTTGTTGTTACAATTATACATTTTATTTTCGATTATAACATTCATGTTGATGTTTTTGTCTTATTCACTATAATTATTTTCGTTTTGATCCCATCTCATATAAATGCCAAGAACTTTCAGTTAATCGGAATATGAAACAAGTCAATTTCTGTTCAATAATCGTTTGTCATTAACTAGGAACTGGAAAGTCTTAGAGAGTTAGAGGTATTCAAAATCGTTGGTAAGTACCTTAGAGGGAATACAAGTAAATTATGTTAGTATAAACCACATGAAAAATTACTGTAACACCATATTTCATTTGGTAGCTCAAAAAGTAAAAGGACTAATGTATCTACATTTTGTTTTTCATAAATTAAATAATTATAATGCTTACTACTTATCTAGATTAAGTCATAAATCATAATAGTTTATTGTTTGGTTTCCACTCGAACTCCTAAGCAAGGGATTGCACTTGAATAACCGGAACCTTTAAGGCCGGTAGTAACACTAGTATAAAATCCCTAGAAAAACCCATCACCACCTGAAACTCAATAATAACACTGAAGGATTTTTTAATATCGTAATTATCTGAAATCCCAAAAAATTAAGGCGAATCAAAAACCTGGATATTTTTAACATACAAATTTCCTGAGATCCTCATTTTGTAATTATTTTTAGTGTTTAGATTCGTTTGACACATTTGGTAACCATGGCCATAGGAGATAAACGCTTTTCGTAGTGAACAGAGATATCTCAAAGCCAGTTTAATATTCATAGTTATTACCACACGTGGGCCAGAGTGGACCGATTTATGGAAATTTAAAAATAACAGCAGTACCGAATAACAATTACCTAAGTAGTAAATTTTCATTTTATTACAGTACTCGTAGACCATAGTTATTGTTATATTACCATACCATCGTCTATGATATATCAGTAATTTTGTATGAGTTGAATTGATATTCTAACGATCATCTAATATCCCAATAATTTTAAATGCCCGGTGTTTAAAAACCTGACACGGGTTGAATATATCCAAATCGGAAGCCCGAGTATATGATTTGGGTGTAGCCCTGCTCCCAAGCATGTGCAAATACGAGTGAAAATGTGTGTGCACTCGATCGCCTCGTTTGGGAATCAACTCAAGCTTGGTGGGTTAAAATTTGAAATTTAAACTGGAACGGAACCAATTTGGTTTACCTTTTAAATGCCTAATTCCAATTGGGAACCAATCCTGAAAATCCCATTTATTTATTTAGGTGTATAGGACGAAACAAGACTGTTAATATTACTGTCGAGATTATGTTCAACATGGCACCGAACACGACCCAGTTTGTATGGCTAGATCACATGACACGGACTTACTCCTTTTGAGCGTTGGTGAACGCGTTCCTGTACAGGGCGCTGATGATGACGAACGCCACCATGAACAACAAAAGTTCCCTGTACAGTACCTGGTACAGGCTGCCCCGCCACAGGAACAATAGTTTGGTGAATCCTGCGCTGCTCGACGACGACACCTTGGACTGGTAGCTGACGGTCATCGTGGTCGACGGCGGCGATGTAGGACTTGGGTCCCGCGCTGCAGATGATCGACGGCGTCTCGGGCCGCATCCGCTCGCTCGGCAATGTCAGCACGCGGGATCGATGCCGACAATGACGACGACTGGTTAGGTCGGGTAACGCGGTATCACATAATAACACTACTATGGTAAGATGGCGTATAATATATATATTGCATTTTACTACCGTCTCCGGGTCCGTGGTCGAAGCGCCGTTTTCATTTCGGGCCGCCGTCGGCGGAAACGCTCGACGTTCGCTATATTTTATGTTATATAAAGTAGCTACGACGACGGACGTGCACGCCGAGATTTTCCCGCGATCTATCGATCGGCGCGAAATTCTATCGATCGTCTCCGAATATATCGCGTGCGGTTTGCGGTTCGACGGCGACGACGTGTTAACAATAAGCGCTCTATACGACGACGATTCGACGCGGCGCGCGCGCGCTTTTGACTGACGCCGGCGGCCTGTGCGCGGTTAGGTACAGCTGCAGGTACGCGCGTTACGCGGTCTAGGCGTATTTTTTTTATTTAAATTTTATTTTTTTAGTTTTAGGTTTATATACATTGTTTTAGCAGCCGCCGCGTGCACTGCAATATACGCATAGGTCCCTCCCCCTCCTCGGCGTTTTCCCGGCGGAACGCTGCAAGTGCGCGCGCGCGTGCGGCGGGCAAAAAAATATTAAAGGCGAGAGACCTTCCGAACGCAAAAAATTTTTCTAGATAAACAACGCAATCCGCGCCTCGCATTGTTTACACGCGCCTCGTGTATGGCTATATGTATATATTCACGCCCGTAATCGGTAAACAGGGGGGGGTACCCCATTGTTCCGACCCGTGCGTGAATAACACATCACGTATGTACCTACTGTATATGAGGTGTATAAAAAAAATAATATTTATATAATATTATTATTGCCGAGGTTAGGTCGCCGTGTTTTGCGCGTGTCGCGTAATGATTATATCATAATGATATCGACGCGGGTTTGATTTTTTAGGCCCGCTCAATCGTTTCATAGATCTATAGGTACGCTGCATTATGTTGTACTGCTATTATTATTGTCTTCCAGATTTGTTACCGTCATGTCGATTACTATCCATTTTTCCTCGCGGCCCCCGGCGAAAGCGCGTCGTACTTACATAATGTTAAACACAGTATTTGTGTATGATGTACCGTGGATACGACACGCAAATAAAAGCGACACGCGACTCTGATAATGTGTACGATAATAAAGTTATTTATTAATTGTTTTATAATTATTTCAAATATAACATGTGAGATATTACGTTCTCGGTAGTTTTAAGACCACGCGACCTTATATTGTGAGCGGTTAGATTTTTGAGGTGTATTATAGTACAATAATATATGATGCAAGAGTTCGAGGCCGTCGTAAGAATATCATGCGGGGCGACCTGCGACCTAGCGTCAGACCCTTTTCCCCCTCGGAAACACGTGTGGCGTTATCGCGAATAACTATGGATATGCAGCAGTGTTGTGGTGTTAGTGTCTCGAGAATGTGATCAGTATAGGTTGTAAAACAATGTCGGAAAGCGAAAGGACTTATCGAAGGGAGAATAAAAACACTCACTTATTTACTTTGCTGAGTTGCAAAAATGTTCGATAAAGCGAAATTTCCAGACACTTGTAGACATCGTACGAGTAATTAATAGCTAGAGTCTAGTAGACTATAGATAAATGTTTTGAAAATTGATTATAATCTTTCAAAACCTGTTTCATTAGCGTTTTTTCTGATAAAGAAACAGCTGATTTAGTGACTTAATATACCTATTTACAAACGAATAATCAAAAAGAAAATAATAAAGACGATTAGTGTTCATGCGTTTTGGAGGCCGCGGAGATGAAACATCTGCCAATACTTAGTAAATAATAATAAATAAACTAATGTATTGTCTTATGAAACTAAAAAGGAATATTCAGAGGATGGAGGTGGTTTTAATCAACTGTTCCAAAAATTATAGGTAATATTGTTTAATTGCATCGTAAAATAAAAATTACAACTGCATATCAATATATTATAATATTGTACTTCAATTTTAGACTAATATAGTCAAATACTATACTGAGTGTTCCGTGAGGATATACCCATTAGTAGACTGGAATTCGCCACTCGGACAAAAATCGGGTTTTTACCGTTTTACTTATAAGCTAAAAAAATGATTAAAAATCATGAAATTAATGAAAATGAAATGTTGAAAGGTTAAAATTTTCAGAAAAATAAACTCTTTAAAATAGATATTTTCAACGGTTTCAAAATTTAAAAAAATTTAAAATAAATTATGTGTAATAAACAGATTTATGATATATTTATTATCTCAGGAGATATCGGAATGGGTAAATACTCGAGGGTCACTCTGTATACTACTAATAATTTCTTTTCATTTTTTTAAATGGTTTTTTTCCAATTAAATTTTATTATGCTTTCTCAAATTGTTAAGAATATTAACACTAGCATAAACGGTAATAAGCGTAACTCGCCGTTTTAAATTACCTATTTTTAAGTGTAAATAACAACAGCGTAAAAAAATTGTGGTTTTTATACGAAAAACGTTTCTCGACTACATATTTATATAGACATTGCACAATATCATAATGCCAGCGACCACAACTCAGTGACGGAGTGTGTAAATTATAAAGGTGAGGATCACGATTGTCTACTTAGTTAACCATGGTGAGGATTTTATAGGATGAGATCCATATGGATTTTGAAATAATATAATTTTCTATTAGTTCCAGTATAAATTATGAAATAATATCTTTGTTGAACAGTAAGTCGATAATTGAACTTATATTTGATAATAATAGTTACCTACATATAGCTTTTGTAGTTTTGTTAAAAGAAGAAAATGTAATTTTATATAAAACATTGAAATTTTTCTGTGAAATTATGTTGATTTTTCCAGTTGCCATAATGAAACCAAAGATACCGTGCAGACATGATAATACCAAAAGGTAGATACACCGTAATTCCTGCAGTGTATATCTTTTAGTACTTTCAATATGAAAATTGACACCGGTCTTTTGGTATCCATTTCAAATACCACCGCCATCAGATATGTACTACGACCACGGCACCACACATATTGTTATTTTTGACTTTAGTTTTATTTATTTCATTTAATTTAATTGCATGACGTAAATAACAAATTTACATTCTACCGAATACTACGTTTAAATTGTTTAAAATGGAGTGGGTACATGTATTTTAATTTATATTATTTCGTGTTATTGGACACTTGTAATGTAGTTGTTTTGTGCTGCAAAAATGAATGATAAGTTTACCCCAAGACGGATGGTGAAACGAGATAAAATCGTAAAACTGTTTTTCCATTGGAATATTTTTCTAAAAAAGGTTGATGTACAATATGAATACGTTGAATATTTAACCGATCATCAATAATTTATTGTCGTTTAAAATTTGGATTAGCGAAATTTTTAGTCTATAATCGATAGGGTAAATTATCAAAAAAATATCACAATAACTGCATATTACTATGTTTTGGCTTAAAATAATTAGTTCACGATTATTTTTTATGTGCCTTCGTTTTCAAGACAAAATTATTATTAAAACTCAGACAACACCTCGCCAATACTCCGTTGTCGCTTGCATGTTGAGTGGTTTGAAAACTTATACCTGCAGCAAAAGGTCAATGGCCCAGCCACCCAGCTATTGTAGGTGACTTGTACCAGATAGGGGGGAAAAAAAGTCGACATTTATAGTCATAAATATGACTATCCGACAAAGAATATAAACAATCTCAATCACTCTTTATGTATGTATACTGTATAGATAGGCTGTATAACGATAAGATATATTGTATTATTTATAAACAGACACTTGTTATAATAATAACGCTAATAAATTGTGATTTGTGAATACATTAAACCTGCTTAAGTTAATTATACAACGTGGTCATTTTAAGTCTCCGTTACGTGGAACAATTATATTCTTTTTTTTTAGAACGACAAGTAGTTATTATTTATACGGATAAACGTGAAAGACTGAAGTATACACTTTACTGGTGATAAATTTAATCTTCGTAAACCGGTAGTGTATTGCTCATGACGACGGACGTGCACTTCTTTTTCGTCATTAAAACAACGTAAAAAGTCATCGTTATCGTAATTATATTTTGTAATTATTAACTTAGATATCAAACAGAATACGGTTTTATGTTTTCAATTGTTCGGAAACGTATAACTTGACACAATGTAAATTTTGTAGTTACGCTTGTACCTACCCAGTAATATAAATACAATTTTTTCTTCTTACCTCATCTTTGAAAAACATCATCACTGATTTTTTATTTATTGTGATAGTTTTTGATAATCTATAACGTCGTAGTATATTTTATACTCATTGATCACAAATGATCTGGAATAGCCACATTCTATGGTAACTCGAAATTTCGACTTGGTTCCGGAGTCATGGAAAAATTACAATCAAGTGGAAGTACCCAACATTTTAAACATCGTACGAATAATTTTTTTTCTAGACTGCAAATATTAAAATGCTATTTATTTGATACGGATGAGCCGTGTCCACGTGTAAGTTATTTGTAAATAGTCTTGAATCATATAAACGAATTGAGGCATCATATTGTGTTTTTCAAAAGAGTGTATACTACTGTATACTACTGTATAATATATTAATATTATATGGTACAGGCGTATTATATACGTTTAGTGCAATAATATACTGTCAAATGATAAAAAAATACCTCTCATATTATTGCTCCCCTCCATCCACGGTACCAAAGTGATTATTAATTTATGTTGCTGGAACAATATATTTATTTATTTATTTCAAACAACCAACACCCATTTATAGCTGAAATATTTTCTGTTACAAAAACCGGTACAACACTTTTCTAATGGGGCAGAAGGGTGAATTTAAGATGAAAAAAAAATGTTATATTTAAGTATTATGCACTATAATAACATACACCAATTTTTACCCAGC